ATCAACCTGGACAAGACACGCACGTGCTCTCATTGCCGATGTTATCTGACTAAGCACATGCCTTGTAAGATTCCATCTTATCAATGAAGCCTTCTTCCTTGTTAAACCAACAATGCCACCGTCTCCTTTTGAATCTTTTATCACTGTTTTTTCTGTTGCCATGTCGCTCCAAACGCCATTGAACGATCCAACTTTTTGACGAACAGAGAAGAAACCCATCGAAAAAAGACCTTCTGCCTCAGTTGGCAAGTTTAGCATATCTAAAAGGTAGACAGGAGTCCATCTGGAATAATTGTTTTTGTTGGCAACAAAGAAGTAAGGAAGCATTGAGAAAATAGAATGCAAATGAAGAGACCAAAGGCCATTTCTTTCAGCTCGGATATTTATCAGCATAATTTCTAAAGCTTGTAGTAGCATATCCCAATAACGAAATGTAGGAGAAACATGACCACCCCATTCTCGAAACTCGTTCATTTTTGACCCAAGGTCGTCATTCAGAGCTTTTTCTAGACTTTGAAGCATGTCAAATGTACGGCCATTACTCGTAAAACTATCATGACACTCTGTGAGGCCTGCAAAAATGCTTTCAGGGATTTCTAAACAATTTTGTTGTCTGATCCAAACAAAGAACGAACAGATCCAAAGTGTCTTTAATGTCTCATAAAGGAGTGTGAGTCCTCTAACTGCACGGTTGAACTGTTTTCCTGAAAGCATTTGGTCTACCGTTGCAGCTGAATACACACCGGAATCAACTAGCAGGTCGCGGAGACCACCATCTCCCCATATCTTACCTATTGATGAAATAAAACACGAAAGGGTGTGAAAGCCACCAAGACGTAAAATGTGTGATTTAAACTCAGAAGGTCTATCCCATTTTACCTGTTGTGCCACTGCGTACAATTGTAAATCAAAAGTTTGAATAGAAAATGGTTGACCAGCCTTCTGGCACATATCAGCACACCTTTTCATTGTTGTATACACAGTGCCCATGTCGGAAGGTTTTGCGTCAATGATTGGCGGATAGCTGACAACATGATAAGTGGTACTAATATTCGAGATCTGCTTATTGAATCCAGTCCAGAATGGAATTTGTTGTCCTTCAAACGAAGGTTGTTTGTATGGAAGGTCAACAATAGTCCTTGATAAATTTCTAAGGAGCACCCAGATAAGATCAGAGGTTTCAGCATAGGGAAGTACACACGCAGAAAGCTTTGAATAAACGTCACTCTTGCGGCTAGGTTCAGCTCTTTGCTTCGGCTTTGTAAAGGGAGCACATGTGGTAAGGGAAAATACTTTCTCGTCTATTGGCAGGGTTTTTATGCGACCTCGGGCGACTTTTTGGTGTTCCAGATGCTCAGTTTCACCATTTATCTCCTCACATACCTGGAATACCGCTCTTGCCATTGAATGGAAAGTATCCTTTCCATCAACTGTTTCTGCATTGATGTCGACATTATCAGCTCCTTCATGTATGACTGAGACTGTGCCGTTATATTGGCGAACTCCACTGGGGATGTATGTATTGTTTTGAACTTGAGATAATTCAGAGCACGCAAGGCTTGTAAGGTATCGCCTTACCTCATGATATGATGCACAAAATCCATGCGAATGTAATGTCTCGATCAAAGCTTTCGAACCATGCATATGATGTAACTGTAATGCAAGGCCAATGTAAAGGGGTGATAAAGCTTTTTTGTGCAATGAAACTATACATTCAGATAAAGCTAAGCTTTTCCTTATACTTTCAAATGGAATGTCAGATAAATGGTTTTTAATATCTACTTGGCTGTGAGAGTCATCGATAAGCCAATTTATAAAGCCAGTCAAAACAGAAGGCACGGTCTCTATAGATTTCGATAAAGACATTTCATCAACTGAAGGATAAGTATCCATAGGGACAACGGCATTTTTGATCTCACGTCTGAGAATTGAAGCAGCTGAATATAATATTTGGTTTTCGTCGGTTTGGTCGTTTTTTGAAGTGCATGCAGACATCTGCAGTTTAGTAAACTTTGTTTCGGCCTTGAAACGAATAGCAGTTCTAACTGCCTCGGGCAATGTGAGAGAACTACTATATACGAAGTTAGACTCCCCTTGACCGTGATTTACATCAACCACAATATGTTCTCGAAAGTGATTTTTTAATCTGAGTTGAAGTCTATAAGAAGTGTATTTAGATGATACGTCTTCTGGCAGAAATGATTTATATTTAGAAAGGAGATAAGACAAGGAGAACACCACTTTGTGAACGAACAATTCTTCGCTGATAGACTCAACAAATGAGGTAAATGCTTTATCGTACATGGTACCAGTATTATTTTCATTGGTTTCTGCTTTAATTTCTTTTTCTCGCAAAAGGTATTTTGTTATGCAACCAGAGTGATATAAAGCATTTGATGTGAAATCTTTATCTGCAATTTGAAAGAGCATTTCATTGTCAGCATGTTTAGTTGCTGTTTCAAAAAGGCTTTGAACCCTCATAGACGAGGAAACACGATGAAGTTTTCGATCTTTTTTAAAGGTCTTGTTTTTACAAAAGATACAACACAAAAAATCTTGTGATAGCCTAGATCTAGTAAGGATATTTGGAGATGAACATGAACTTGTAGTTTCTGCTTGAGACTGCTGTTGCTGAACTTTTGCAGCAGATATACGACTTGATGGAGACGGTAGGTTGTGTTTGCTTGTATATGTCCTGTAACAAGTTTTGTGATATTTTATGTTGTTCATAATAATGTATTCTAATGTATCAACCTCACTCAAAAACAACCTAAACACATCATCTTGTCTTTGCCTTACAGCATTCATTAAGGTTGTAAAACCTCTATCAGTTGTCATACTGAGAGTCTCTTGTGTAATATTTTGACATATTATACAGCGTTGCCAATTTATGGACATGCGACCGCGCTTCATTGGAGGTGGCGCACATTTCACAGGACTTAGACACTCATCCATGATGAGTAATTGTGATAATATTTAAGAATATACTATTCTACAAAATGCAGTCTGCTGCTTACATATCACATACCAATACCGTTAGTAATGCTTAAAATGGTCTTTCGTTAACACATATACGAATATCTATTTAGTAATATGTTAAAACACGACTTGTGTTTTGGCAACTCAAATGTTACCTGTGCATATTAGATACTCGATTTATATAAATTTTGAGCGTCTGGGATGAACACGATACAGATCCGGAATACCGTTTAATAATGCAGATTTTAGAGAAGTCGTCAAACATTTATTATCCATCATTGAGCTTCGATGTGTGTCGCAATCTTTTCAAGGTATATGGAATTTATAAACACAAAACATATGAGAGTTTTAATAAGTCATTGACACCGACAATCTTAAAAAATATGGTATTTTTTTTACATTTGAGAGTTGGTCTGACAGATGACTCTGAATTAACTAATTTTTCATAAAATCTTCTTTTTTTTGGATTCGATGTCTTTTTAGAATGTAGTCAAAGCTATCTTAGATAAAAATGAATAATATATTTACAACAATGCCGATATATTCAATGTTAAATGTCACCGTATAATCCAAAGTATTTCGACATGCTCTAGAAGTTTTTCTTTCAATTGATACCAAAATTAGCTGTGTGTTAGATAGGTGCATTAAAAACCTTAACGAGAGGCTTTTTCTCAAATCGGCGCTCGCCTAAATAGACAATCGTATAGTATAAGTTGGTAGCCGCGAGGTTAAGATCTATGAATTATAGAGTCAAGTTAGAAGTAGAGACTTGTCGGTTTAGATTCGAATCCTTGTTTTCTCTTTGTTGTCCCTATTCTTTCGTTTTTCCGTTTTTCTTATTTTGCATGTTATTGTTGATATTATTGTAGAAGTAGCGGGTTTTGCCGTTTATTTTTGGATTATCATTGACCAATTCATGTACTTGAAACAAAAATATTACATTCAATTTGTGCATTTTTGTTTTATATATATAGTATGATTTCATTCTGTTTTACTACATATCTTTACAAATATTTATTCGCAAATATCTATGCGAGTTAATTTTGATGTGCTTAGAATTAGGTTTCTTGCTAGAAATATTGGTAATATACTTATCATATATTCTTTAAAATAAGTTTGAATATGTCTTATTTCGTAAATTACGGATAATATTCAGATGCATAATAATTTAAAGGCAGACGTGTTATGTTATATTTGAATTTCTCTAACCAATTAATTATGAACAGTAATGCATCTTTGAACATGATAACAGGGTTATTTATGCTCACTTACAATACCTTCTAATTAAGAAAAGACTTTGATTTTGAAAAGACATCAACACAATAGTTTAAGTTATAGATACAATGATAAGCGTTGATTCATGAAATACAAACCATTCGCCCTCCGGTCTCATGGTTACTTTTTCAAGAATCAACGCTTTTTCATTGTATCTATAATAATATTGATTGATTGTTGGTTGCTTAACGTCCAGTGGCAAATATTTCACGCATATTCAGGACGAGAACAAATTAACAATAAATACAATAGGTAGGTTATGTAATAGGGGCTTCCGGGATTAAGATCGGAGAAATTTAGACTGCCACGGGAAATGAGGGCATATTGGATAGGGACTGAAATTTAGCCTTGCAACAGGTCACCTACGGACCCCTCAAAGAGTTGTTGCAAGGGTTCTTTACGTGCAAAGAGCGTGGCACTCTCTTTACACGAGGCATCGGATTTAACGTCCCCATTCTGACCGGACGTGGCTGCAAATTTGTACATCCCGCACAGCCAAACGGACGCCCCACTTTAGCAAGGGTTTTACTGCCGGTCGGAGGAAGACCAATGGTGACCATACTTCTATTCCCCAGTCACCCTTGGGGGTTTGTATCTATAATACGTAATTCTAAATTTTAACCGATAATAAATGAAGTTCAGACGTTAAAACAAAAGAGAAATCGGAAATGAAGGAAGTAACGGAATTTGAAACTTTCTTGTGTAAACAAATAGTTGAACTTATCTCAAAAATGAATTATAATCACCTCAATAGGATATCCTACGACTTCAGAGACTTTTTGTGCAACCTTTTCTTCGAAGTCATCTGGAATGTCTTCGTTTTTTATGTTGGTGTGAATTATTATCTTAGGCATACTGCATACAAACTAAAGTCAAAAGTAAAAAAAAAAATGTATATTAATGTGAAAGGACAACACTTGGTGCAGCATACTATAAACACAGCATCTCGAATAAACAAGTATATGGGAACGACCATTTGATAATCTAGGGGCATTTTTCGGCATTTATATTCAAACAGTACGACGAACGTACAGATTATTTATTTTTTGACACAATGCTTAATGAATATTTATTTCATTTTCATGCTCAACTAATTCCAACATTTTCGGGTTTGTGATATTTATTTGCAAGCTACATTTGGAAATAAAAATGTCAGGCCATTTATTTTCAAATTCCTCCATGTCCTTCTCCTCCCCCCCCCCCCAAAAAAAAAATCAAAGTGTGTGTCCCCTAACAGTATGTAGCGAATTACGGGTACAGTATTGTGTTCAACGCACCATTGAAGTACAATGTTAAAGATGTAGTACTCATAAAGTTGTCCAAACTAGACTAGTGGTTTAATATGATGATCGATGTAGATCACTACAGATTTATTGTTTCGTATAAATTAATAAAATGTCAGTGTTATATGCATACATGTATATGTGTCTTTTTTTTATTTTTGCGTTGTGGTATTATGTTTGTTATAGTGAAAATCTTATTGTTTGGATTTTACGTATTGAAAAGTCTTCGACTAAAACGTTTTTCTATTTTTATTTCTTCTACAAAAGGTTGAATGGTATAGTGTGAAGATGGTGACTGAAGGTTGAATGGTATCTGTGTGAAGATGGTGAAGGTTGAATGGTATCAGTGTGAAGATGGTGAAGATTGAATGGTATCAGTGTGAAGATGGTGAAGGTTAAATGGTATCGGTGTGAAGATGGTGAAGGTTGAATGGTATCAGTGTGAAGATGGTGACTGGAGGTTGAATGGTATCAGTGTGAATATAGTGAAGGTTGAATGGTATCAGTACGAAGATGATGAAGAATGATTAATATCAATGTGAATATGGTGAATGGTATCAGTATGAAGATGTTGACGGTTGGATGGTATCAGTGTGAAGATGGTAAAGGTTGAATGGTATCAGTGTGAAGATGGTGAAGGTTGGATGGTATCAGCGTGAAGATGGTGAAGGTTGGATGGTATCAGCGTGAAGATGGTGAAGGTTGAATGGTATTAGTGTGAAGATGGTGATGGTTGAATGGTTTCAGTGTGAAGATGGTGACTGAAGGTTGAATGGTATCAGTGTGAAGATTGTGACTGAAGGTTGAATGGTATCAGTGTGAAGATGGTGAAGGTTGGATGGTATCAGCGTGAAGATGGTGAAGGTTGAATGGTATTAGTGTGAAGATGGTGATGGCTGAATGGTATCAGTGTGACGATGGTGACTGAAGGTTGAATGGTATCAGTGTGAAGATGGTGAAGGTTGAATGGTATCAGTACGAAGATGATGAAGGTTTAATGGTATCTGTGAATATGGTGAATGGTATCAGTATGAAGATGGTGAAGGTTGCATGGTATCAGTGTGAAGATGGTAAAGGTTGAATGGTATCAGTGTGAAGATGGTGAAGGTTGGATGGTATCAGCGTGAAGATGGTAAAGGTTGAATGGTATTAGTGTGAAGATGTTGAAGGTTGAATAGTATCAGTGTGAAGATGGTGATGGCTGAATGGTATCAGTGTGACGATGGTGACTGAAGGTTGAATGGTGAAGATGGTAAAGGTTGAATGGTATTAGTGTGAAGATGTTGAAGGTTGAACAGTATCAGTGTGAAGATGGTGAAGGTTGAATGGTATCAGTGTGAAGATGGTGAAGGTAGGAATGATATCAGTGTGAAGATGGTGAAGGTTGAATGGTATCAGTGGGAAGATGGTGAATGGTATCAGTGTGAAGATGGTGATGGTTGAATGGTATCAGTGTGAAGATGGTGAAGGTTTAATGGTATCAGAGTGAAGATAGTGAAGGTTGAATGGTATCAGTGTGTAGATGGTGAAGGTTTAATGGTATCAGTGTGAAGATGGTGAAGGTTGAATGGTATCAGTGTGAAGAGGCCGTCTTGACCTTGTTGTAGGATATGAATGATTCGTTCATTGTTGAAGACCCTACATCAACTGTCAAGATGAAGAACAGGAATTAAAGCCCTGTTCATTATTTTCTATGTTTTCTATGTATTGTGTGCGATTTTGTCCCTTGTACATTTACTCCATATCCTTTCATTTTCTAAGGTTTAATGGTATCAGTGTGAAGATGGTGAAGGTTAAATAAGTATTAGTGTGAAGATGGTGAAGCACATGGGTTTGTTACAATTTGCCGGGTTTCAATACTATCCATACAAACCCCGAAAAAAACACATGCGCATAGTAAACTCGGCAAATTGTAACAAACCCCTGTGGGTGAAGGTCGATACATTTTGTACAACACGGTGGGCATATAGATATACAATATGCACAGTTGTAGGTCACGCAAGACTTCAGCCTTTTAAGGTTCATGTGGACCCTTCGTCTAAAATGGCTGCATTTTCACCTCAAAATTTACTCTGAGTACAGACAAACCTGTGCATCTGGAAAAGTTTTAAGGCATAGCATGCCCTAGATAAATAAAATTCAAATATATTTTATGTTTTAGAAAATTAAAAACTTAACCGGATTTTGCAGTGCACTTTTTTTCATTCCTCCAGAAGGTGCCAAAATAAACTAAGTTGGGAAAGAGGTTTGAGAACTTCCCCACAGGTAATAATTGAAGTGAACTGTTTTGATTGACATGGACAATAGATGGACAATAGATACCTGACAATAATTGGTGATTTAAACTGTGTACCTGAGTGGACCATATCAAGTGAAACTCAACTGTTTGTTAATTTTATCATCTTCTGCAGGGACGAAAAAAAGTGCACTGCTAAATCCAGTTAAGTTTTAAATTTTCTAAAACATACAATGCATTAGAAGTTTATTTATCTAGGGCATGCTATGCCTTAAAACTTTTCCAGATGCGCAGGTTTGTCTGTACTCAGAGTAAATTTTGAGGTGAAAATGCAGCCATTTTAGCCAAAGGGTCCACATGAACCTTAAGGTTCATCATAACAAATGGACAAATATGGCCGTATTTTCACCTCAAAAACTACTCTGTGTACAGACTTACCTGTGCAGTTTGGAAAGTTTTAAGGCCTGGCATCCACTACATATATAAAAGTTAAATTAATTTTGCATATCAGAAAGATAAAATCTTTTTTTGAATATGATGGGCATTTTTTTTCCTTCCTGCAGAAGGTGTAAAAATAAACAAACACCTGAATTGCATTTGATACTCTCCACTCAGTTACTACCTTTAACTCACCTATAGATGTGTAGATATCTTTTGTCCATGCCAATCAAGGACAATCAATACAATACAATTTCAAATCAGTTGTTACCTGAGAGGGAGCATCTCAAAGTTATATCCCAACTTAGTTTATTTTTACGCTTTCTGCAGGAACGGAAAAAAATGCCCATCATAATCCAAAAAAGATTTTATCTTTCTGATATGCAAAATAAATTTAACTTTTATATATCTAGTGGATGCCAGGCCTTAAAACTTTCCAAACTGCACAGGTAAGTCTGTACACAGAGTAGTTTTTGGGGTGAAAATACGGCCATATTTGTTCATTTGTTATGATGAACCTTAAAGCCCCCTCCATGTAAGTCCATACATGCTTATTTCGTCAATAAAGGCAGGTTAAAGCAGTGGGTTAAAGGGAAGTCTTTCCGTATGCCGAGATCCCTAAGCATGTATACTTCCTTGAAAACTGACGGCGCAGCTGTTGTACAGTTGTACACAGTACGCCCCTAAGTTTGTGGTCGCCGGATATAGACACATGTGTGTTTGAAGCAGGAACAAAACAACAACAATAGTATATATTAGTTAATAAGCTTGAATTCTGAAATAATCATATAAAATTGATACCTTTCAAGCTTTTATGTGTATTTTAAGTTTAACTTTATCACTTTACCTGTAGGCTGTATTTTGTTTACATCTATTAAATAAATATATGGAAAGCTAATTTACTTAAAAGCATTGCATTGTCTGCCGTTTATATGATTTATTTGTTGATACGCTACAGATTGATTTTTTATGTTTATCGTAAAAATGACTTATTATCGTAATGATTGTCGCAAATATAAAATGTATCAAGAAGGTAAAACAGTCGAATGTGTAAATGATATAATCTAATTTTAATGAGGCTTGTATAGGGTATATTGGGATACGGGATATTTGCCATTTTAATTTTAGGGATATGGGATATTTGTCCTAAAAATAAATGGGATATGGGATATTGGTGCATTTTTAGGGATATTGAATTTCGAAAATGAAAAATGAAAAAAAAAAAATGTGAAAATTAAAAGTTAAGTACAGAAATATTTACATCTCACTTGATAAAATTACCAAAAAAAATTTACTAGAAAAAGTTATTTAAGAGTTTAGTTGATTTTCATTGAGTTTTGTTATTATAAAACACCCATGCAACCACGCATCCCAAATTGCATGATAGGACCCAACACGTACTATTGATATCACTATTTTAGTGTTTCGGCAGTTAAAGCTTGGGATTAGAGGCTCTGGCTTGGGATGGTCATTTTAGATGCATTATTTTAATATAATCAAATATGCAAATTATTCATGTATATATTGATATATTTATATTTTGATTCTTCATCAATAGGTCTAGTTATTATGACAGATCTGCCATCATCAGGGGTCCAACTGTCAATTTTATGTTAAAGTCTTCAACTTTGATCTACTAAGCATATCTCCAAAACTTTTATGTTTGCTATACGCAATTATTGGTGCAGCATAATGCCATTGAATATTTATACACAATCTTCGTCAAACTGTAATAAATGCCCGTTTCTTTATTTTACGTATATATGTAGGACTCTAAAATATCAAAGAAACCAAGTGCGATGGGGACGCCAAAGTGCGAGGGTCTGCGCTAAAGTGCGATGCCTCCATACGCTAAAGTCCGATGGTCCGCGAAATTATAGACGTAAGAAACGTAGTTGGATTATGACGTTAATAGTCGTTTATACAAACCAAAAATTAATATGCCGGAAGATAAATTAAGAATATTTGATTAACAACTTTTAAATCAAATGTCCATGACTTAATTTCAGACCTAACCGTGCTTTGTCGGCTGAAGCAAATGTGTTTATTTGGGGTGCTGGAAGAAGGACTTGTGTCCTGCAGTCGACCATTTTACTATATAGATACAAAATAGTATACGCATAGGTATCCTGTATCCTGCTTCTATTGGAAGCGAACGGTTACATTTAAATCATATGATTTGTTTAAGTTGCAGTTTACTTTGCTGTCCCCATTAAAATATTGTCAGTCGATTTTATTGAATAGTAACGTCGGTAAAATAGAGGTACATGTTTTTTAAGCGTAAATTACAAATTGTCGGCTAAAACATAGCTTGTTCAGTGTAGGGAAATATGACATGTATTTGTAAAAAAGGAAAAATCTCGGCGAATATCGCATTTTTCTCGCATTTAAGCTTGAAGCCTTGTATCAATAAATGCTAACTTACTTATTCCGACAATGAACGCATTTTGTATTTGTAATTTACAATAACGACTGTTAAGTTATTGATAGACTTTGTGAGCGGCAAGCTACACCAATTATCCAAATATTTAATACGAAAGAAATTGTTAAAAAATCATTTAACAAGAAATCCAGTATTTTGTGACACATAAATTAACTTTTTAGCAATGATTACGTGGTCGGTCTTCTAAATTGAGAAACAATCACTTTCGCCTACCGGTCAATTATACAGCCTATTACATATGTTATACTTTAGCATACTAGCTTTTGCAAAAAGACTTGGTTTAACATCCATGCACTTTAATGAATGTTTTAAGCCCTCGAACCTTACCCTATTGTTCCATCGCATTTTAGCGTGCTATACCATCGTACTCTAGCAAACTAGCAATCATCGCACTTTAGCGTGAGACACCATCGTACTTTAGCGTAGACCATCGCACTTTAGCGTGACCATCGCACTTTAGAGTACCATCACACTTTAGAGTCCTATATATATATATATATATGGGTTATATTTAGTTATCAAAACTAACGGAATATTTTCTTTTTCCTTCGATTTATTTTGCTGTAATAATTCAGTACGTCGGTCAATTGATAAAGCATCAGTAAAACTATCATCTATTTCGACGTTATCATAACCCCTATCTAATGATTTCACTTTGAAATTAGTTAAATTGTTTATTAAATTGTTATTGTCATTTGTGTTTCTAATTTGCCATATTGCTTCACCTTTAATAAATCCTCGGAATACATGCTGTGAGTGACAGCTATTTCTATGCAGATAGAGATAAGAATTTGTTTCTTTAAAATGTATTTCAAGGTCAAGAATGCCATGTGTTGTAAATTTTTAACCTTTAATTACATGAACATCTAAGAACGACATTTTGTCGTTTGAGATTTTATAGGTGGACTATAATAAGGGGTTATAATTATTTGCTAGACGAAAAGAATCTGCAATTTCATCTGATGTTCCATCATATATTATGAATCCATCGTCCCTATATTTTAACTTATATTATAAAATTAAACAGACCTAGAAAAATCCTATTGCACGAGTTTGCTATCTATTTATATCTATATTTATGTTTATAAATCGCTTATATGACCGTCGGCAGTCTTCGGAGGTCAACTCGATAGTTAATTAGATGGCGTCTAGACTAAAATACACAAGAAACGATGAAAATATTATCGAGCCCATGCCTTGTAAATTGTTTATTTTATACTTTTTATAATTTGCATATATGTTTTAGTATGCTATAAATCAAATATGAGAATTTGAGATAAATCGATGAACATGAATTTGACAACCAATGCCCCTTTAAATGAATCTAATTGGCAGTAATGTAGAGTATTTAGTTGTCTTGTGACTTCTGTTATGTAGTCTAGTCTGTCTGAAATAACACAATTTGAATTGTTATCTGCCTTTTTTATTACTATTGTTTCATCATTTTTCAAATTGCGTACTTGCTATTCTTTCGCCCTTAGTAAGATTGTTTTTTTTTTATTTATTAGAAAAGACTGGGAACAGTATATCTATGTCAATATATATGTTCCTGGAAAAGATAATTCAAGCTTTGTTAAATCGATATAATTTTCCGACGTATGGCACGTAGAAGCAGGTTTATATCCTGTATTGCTATGAAATGGATGAAGGTCATTTTTTTCGAGCCTTCGATTTTTGTCGAAAAAGCGAGACATAGCGATCCCATCGTCGGCGTCGTCGTCGTAGTCGTCGTCGTCGGCGGCGGCGGGGTCCACAAATATTCACTCTGTGGTTAATGTTTTTGAAATTTTAATAACTTTCTTAAACTATCCTGGATTTGTACCAAACTTGGACAGAAACTTGTTTATGATCATAAGATAGTATCCAGAAGTTAATTTAGTAAACAAAAAAATCATTTTTTTCCGTATTTTACTTATAAATGGACTTAGTTTTTCTGCCAGGAAATATATCATTCACTCTGTGGTTAAAGTTTTTAAAATTTTAATAACTTTCTTAAACTATCCTTGATTTGTACCAAACTTGGACAGAAGCGTGTTTATGATCAAAAGCTAGTATCTAGAAGGAAATTTTGTTAAAATTTTGTACCTGTTTTTCTGTATTTTACTTATAAATGGACTTAGTTTTTCTTCCAGTTAACATTACATACAGTCTGCAGTTAAAGTTTTTAAAACATTTATTAGATTCATAAACTATCCTGGATTTTTATCAAACTTGGACAGAAGCTTCTTACAATCAAAAGATAGTATCGAGAGGAATATTTTTATTAATTTTTTTCCTCATTTTTGTTGAGCCTGCGATTGACAGCAAAAGTAGGCGAGACACTGGGTTCCGCGGAACCCTTACAAATTTTTTTCTTCATGACTGAACATATATCGACAAATCAGTTGTCTAGCAAATTCACTGTAGTCTTTTAGTATAGACATTTTTGCATTTTTGCTTGATGGCGTTGGTATGAATTTCAAGCCTTTCGCCAACAGGATATATTCCTGATTTGATAATTTGCGTTTTAATAGATTAACTACATGCTTTTTTGCATGTGCAGCTCTTTGCTGCATATTATATTCATTCCGTTCTTTTTTTTATTGTAGAATTGGATTTTTTGCTTCTTAGCATTTCTATTAAAACGACGTGTCATCTGTGAGTTCACATTGGGTGATTCTCTTAGCTACGTGCCTTTGAGGAGCTCACATTTGGTGGCTCACGCTTATCTCTACAGTAACTAATA